AAAAGGAAAAAAGAAAAGAACTTAATCAAATATTTCAATGGCAGCAGCCGAGCAATCCCAGCAGAGATACCAATAAGAAGAGAGAGAGCGAGACCATTTTGCAGTTGCCTAGCAACACTTGAACAAAATTTGAAACGATTTTGTTGCCCCCATACAGGTTTAGCACGCGTATACATTTTTTTCCCCCCATGCAACACAATAGAACGTGCACACACAGGCCCTGCTCTGTCGGCCAGACTTTAAAATAACGATTACAAAAAATGCTCAGCCTTTAAAGAAATATCAGGAGAAGGTTGAAGGTAGAAGACGTTTGTCTTCTTTCTCAGAGGCTGTGGGTTTGCACTGGTAAGCAGCAATCATGAGAAAACTTGATTATTCTCCATGGCAGATGGGTTTTGCATATTGCATTAGTTCAAAATCAGGGCCATGGGACATTGGGGTTGCTGAGAAAATGGATTGCACAATCTGACGCCCCGGCGGTTGACTTTCAAAAAAAAAATCTGATCATGCTCTCAAAAAACGCTCCCTCATATCGAAGGTCGTTCCGTTTGAACTGCTCAGCTGGCTGGCTGTGTAATTTCAATCCTTCCAGCAGCAGCAGTTTGTTATCACGCCTAAAGAAGGCACTTGCTAATGGCAGGGCATTTAGAGTCTATTAGCAGCCTCTTCTATCCAAATACACTGCCAGCGCAGTGGATAGCAGCAAATCAGCTGAGCAAACTCGTCCCATTCAAAATGCCCCAAAAATGCATCTTATATAACCTGCAAATGGAATGTAAAACAGGTTTTGTGGTTCTACTCACCTTCCTGTATGAAGTAGCTGTTTAGCTTCACTGAACTGATCATGTTAGATCATGTTAAACTGAATTTTCACACATTTTTTCTGACTTGAAATGTAAATGTGAAAATAAATGCTGCTTTCTTTCCGATGTGAGTCTGTGTGGAAGCATTAGGAGACCTACTTGGTTTGTCATTTGCATATTAACAGGCAATCAGGCTAATCTGCTCATTTGTGGCCTCAGCTAGCACAGAGGAAAAGATCAGACGTTGAGTGTCTAACCATATTTTCAGAGAAGAACAAAATATAGAAAAGCAAAAATCAACAGTTCCTTCATATCAATTGCATTTCAATGTTAAAAGATCTTAAAGCAACAATGTTTACTATTCACATTTATTAAATTTGAGGAAAAGTCTACAATTCTGTACATTTACAAAAATAAAGGAGCTCTTTGGGGTGGTGCCATAGCAGAACCTCCTTTGTTTCCCTAGAGAACCTTTCAATTGATCATTCTTTAAAGAGTTGTTTTTATAAATGAGATATGTGAGTGTGAAGAATGTTTTTAATAGCTTAAAGACCCTCCACATAATGTAAAGATTCTAGGAGAACCCTTAAAGTGGTGTAAAATCTTTGTATTGTATGAAAGTTCTTTAAGCTTGTAAAAAGATATTTTACACTTCGCTCTTTAGGGAACCAGAAATTATTATTTTTATTCTATTGCTTCACTCAAAGAACCCTTGCTGCACCATTTTTTAAGGGTGATGGACAACTAGTTTTTGTTCTCTGAAGAGTTGTGCTGTTTCAATTTAGTTGAAATGTTCTTAAGAGTGAGCTAAAAGGTTTTTATGGCAAAGGTCTTTTCATTCATTCTCTAAAGAACCTTTCAGTGGATGCTTCTTTAAACAACCTTTTTTTTTAGATTTGTGAGTGTAAAGAACACTTTTAAAGTGGAAAGAACCTCCACACACACCATAAAGAGTTCTTTGCACAGTTCCAGAGAAGAACCATTTTTGGTTCCCTAAAGAACCTTTTGATGCATGGTTCTTTACAGAATGATTTTTGTAAATGAGATATATGAGACTGAAGAACCTTTTTAAAGGCTTGTAAATGTTCTAGAAAAACTCTTACATAATGTGAATATTTTTAAGCCGGTTATAAGATTCTTTACACTTGATTCTTTAGAGAACCAAAATTGGTTATTCTATTGCATCACTCAAAGAACCCTTGTGGCACCTATTTTTAGAGTGAAGGAGAACCAGTTTTGGTTTTCTGAAGAGTCCAGCTGTTTCAATTTTTTTTTGTTGTTGTTTTAAAAAAAATCTAAATGTCCTTTAGGGTCCCTGAAGAATCTCAGTGAACGCATCTTTAAAGAACCTTTTTGTAAATGATATGTGTGAGTGTAAAGGATATTTTTAAAGTTTAAAGAACCTCCACATACACCCTAAAGAGTTCTATGCACAGTGCACAGAAGAATTGAAGAACCATTTTTTGTTCCCTAAAGAACCTTTTAAGAACCACTTTTGCAAATGAGATATGTGTGTGTAAAGAACCTTTTGAAGAAGTTTGAAAGAACGTGCACATAATAGAAAGGTTCTAGGAAGAACCATAAATTGGTAAAGAATCTTCACATTATGTGGCTCTTCATACTCACAAATTTTCTTTTTAGTGTGGTTCTTTAAGGAACCAACAACAGGTTTTCTATGGCATCTCTCAAAGAACCCTATGTGGAACCCTTTTAAATACATATAATGTAAAAGTTGCATATAAATGAAAGTGTTTTCCAAGATCTGTAAAGTCAAGTCATGAACAATTTAGGAAGCTTTAGTTTTAACAGGATTTGTTTAATATCATCAGTGAGTAAAAGAGTTGCTGTATATTAAAATGCCATGACGCAGAGCTGAAGCAGGTCTCAACAGGGAGACAGCAGCATGTCAGGCAGTGCAGGGGTTGGAGGGCAGACACCAGTAATTCACAGGCACTTTACGTGTCCACAGCAGGTGCATAAATATGCCATGTTTTCACAACCCATTACCAGAGGGAGATCCAGCCAGATGGAAGTTGTGATGCTAAATTTTGTGTAGTATCATTAGTAGGTTAGTTCACCCCTCATTGGTTTGCCATCTGCTGCCATTTCAGCTCTACTACTCTGAGCCAAGGCATGACAGAGGATGTGAAATCTACACTAGTGTGACCCAAATCCCTCCAAAGAGCTGTTTCACTCTCCACTACTGCACTGAATGCTTCAGCAGCATTTAACAACTGGCAAATTATAGGTGAGTTATAGACATTTTGAAGGAAAAATATCAAATAAAGGCAAAATCAAATAATTATCTTATCAGACAAGGTGTCAAACTGGGGCAGATGCCATAGAAGCACCTTGTTGGTTCCTTAAAGAACCTCTCAGTGGATGGCACAAAAAACCTTTCAAACGTTTGAAAAACCTTGACACAACATTACGACTCAATTAGATTTTAAATGGGTTTTTAAGGAACCATCCATGGAAAGGTTCTTTAGTGAGGCAAAAGCAGTTAATCTATGGAAAGTTTTGATTTTTTTAGCAAACTACAGGTGAGTCGTAAACATTTTGGAAGGAAAAATATCAAATGAAGAAAACGTCAAATAGTAAACTCATAAGAAAAGGTGTCAAAATGGGACAGATGCAATAGAAGAACCACAACTGGATCCCTTAAGAACTTTTTGGTGGATGGCTCGATAAACCATTTTTTTTTAAATAAACTGTGTCATTTCAAAGAAACCTTTTTAAAGTTTAAAGAACCTCCATGCAACATAAAGGTTTTTTCTACAGCCCATTCTTCTTAACCAAGAACCATTCATTTTTTCTTTAAAGAACCTTTCAAAGAATCCTCCATCAAAGAACCATTTTTGTAAATGAAATGTACAAATGTGAAGAGTCTTTGTAAAGTGGAAACATCTTCCACATAGTGCAAAGTTTCTGTATACCAATTAAAGGTGTTTCCTAGACCCTCACATCTGATCTAAGAATGATTAAGGACCCATTTAGGTTTTGAATGAGTTTTTTTAAAGAACCAACCATTGTGAAGGTTCTTTTTATCTGTAAAAAGGTTCATCACACTTGGTTCTTTGGGGAATCAGTAAATCTTCAGGGCACCTTTATTTTTAGACAGAAGAAGAACCAGTTTTTTTTTCCCTGAATCGTTTCTATATATATGTATATATATATATATATATATATATATATATATATATATATATATATATATATATATATATATATATATACATATATATGGGAATGTGATACATGAAACATACAGAGCTGCTTGTTCATTGTAAATCAAAATAGACTAATAGACTAATAGACTAATAATAAGTTTTACTTACCAAATATTTCTCTAAAGATGGCTCAGCATCCAAAGCACAGGCCACATTCCTTTTGTCCACCACATTCCAGTCAAGCTGTATCCACAAACCTGGATTGTAATTCAGCCTTATTAGTATTTCAGACACACTCATAATTGTTTTTCATGCTCCAGTTGTATGTCATCACTTAGAGGGCATGATTGTAGCAATCATTATTTTTCCCTACGGTTGCCATCTTTACCTCAGGTGTGATATATATGTCTCAGCATTTAACACATTAGATGTATAGTCATTTGAGGTGGGCTGGGATTATAGGGGTGACATTTTCTGCTTTGGGGTGGGTAGTGGGTGCATAAGGTAAAAAAAAAAAAAGTGGTTCCTCTTTTCCTTTTTTCCCTTTTCATCATTTCAAATCCACAAACATTGAGGAGGACAGATGAATGGGTGAAGCGTGTGAGTCATCGTGTGCTGCATGAAGAATTTCACTAGAACTTAAGCCTGTCTAGAGTCCGGAAATAATTGGTGCAAAATTTTAAAATTGTGCAGCCAAAACATCCCCATGTAATGCTCTCAAATGCTGATAAGGTGTTTTATGTCATTTTTCACTCAGATATCACAGGAATTTTTCACAGGGACTTGGCTGTAAGGTCCATTCAGGATTCATTCAGCACAAATGCAAACACTGGCTCTTTATAAAATCCACATAAAAAACATAAGTTATCAACTTTACCTGGAGGACTGTCCATATGCACGCTGACCGTGCTGCTGTGCATGTCGAGTGCCAGAAAGACGAGAAAGGAGAGAGTGAGAGAGAGAGAGAGGGGGGAGCAAGGGAGAGAGAGCGCGAGAGAGAGCGCGAGAGAGAGAGGGAGAGAGAGAGAGAGAGAGAGAGAGAGAGAGAGAGAGAGAGAAACAGAAGCGGAGGGATCGACTTTCAGATGACATTGAGGCTATGTAGATGCGAGTTGGGAATTGTGCTCCCCTCCGCGTTCCTGCTTGTTGATGTTAGAGAGCCGCACAAGGCGAAGCTGCTCCTTCTCTGGTGGATTCAGCACCGCCTGCCTGTGGACAGCTCCTTCTTTTCAGCACTACCTGCCTGTGGACAGCTCCTTGTGTATTTCAGCACTACCTGCCTGTGGACAGCTCCTTTATTTCAGCACTGCCTGCCTCTGGACAGCTCCCCGCAGCGAGGCACCTGGACTCCTGCCCCCCCCAGGACCGTTTTGGGGTTCGTTTCAAGTCTTTTAATGGAAATAAAATATATTTATGTTCCAAGTAACACTGGAAGTTTACAACTTGGAGAGGAATCTACGGATACCTCGTTGCACGACTCGCGGCCGCAAACAAAACCCCTTTGGAAGAGCTCTGGAATTTGTTGTAAGTAGACATTCTTTTTCCTCATTTACTCTTTAGTGATGCACTTAAATAAGCATTAATGTCAAAATCCTTCATGCACTTAGCCCAACTTGCTGTGCCAAAAAATGCAATTAAAGGAATACATTGTCTATTAGTGATGCTTCTAATCTATAACCCAGCAGAAATACGATTCGATTTGTTTGGACTTGCAAATAAGTCCCTTTGGCATTATTTTGCTTGTTTATTCAAAGTGTTTGCGCGAACTGGTCATTCTGCTCGCTCTTTGTGACAGACAAAGGGTGGACAGAGTGCACAGCCTGGTGCGTAAAGCTTTGCGCACGGTGTCCTCAGTGGCTCAGTCGCTTCTCCGTGCGTTATAATCATTGCTCAGGACATTATATCGCATGACTCTGAACAGGAGCCCGTTGAAACAGTCAGTACTTGTTTTGGGGAGTTTGGAGAAGGAACTGTTTTAGTTATTTTGGTGAAGTGTCCAAAAATGGCACGCTACGATGCGCTCGTTGACACGTAAAGTGAGTTTCCATTTCCGTTCATTTTGTAAATAAACATATGAAATAAACAAGCATTTCAGGGAAATAAATAGTAGAAATAAATATGTAGTAGAAAAAAAACAGTGTAACGTTCATTAGGCAAGTAATAATGTTCATTTTGCATTGATCACATGGCTTTAAATTGTTGTAATAATGATTATTACCACGTACTTATAACAGCGTCAGTTTATCCAATAAGAAAAAATTGTTGTGGTCATTTTTGGTTATTTGTTTCTGACCACAGTGGACTCTCAGGTCAGGATATATCTTTTAGGCTACGCCACGAATGTAAACGAACGAACGTGCACGAAAGCCAGACACATGAACGAGTGGCTAGCGCTGAAATACTGACCCGTTGACTGAATCAACAACGAGACCTCCATGTGAAATGAGAGATCAACTCGCGCTGAAAACGCCACGAGAGAAAACGAGCTCGATACGAGGACCAATAATTTGATTTCGTGTCTCCAGGTTAAGTGCAACTGACGAGCTGCCTGGCGCTGCTGTTCAAGCGGGGGTTAAAAAAAACACGAGAGAAAAAAAGAAATAAAAACATCGCGACCACAAGCTGCTAATAAACCCATAGAGATGGCGACCAACGGCACCAAAAGCACGGACGGCCAGGTAGTTACGGAGCTGAACGAGGTGACCACCAACGACAGACCCAAAGCAGAAGAGAGCAAAGAGGAGCAGAAGAAGAAGAAGAAGCCTGTGCCGGACAGGGAGACGTGGGGGGGAAAGTTTGACTTCTTGCTGTCGTGTGTTGGCTATGCCATTGGTCTGGGCAACGTGTGGAGGTTCCCTTACCTGTGCGGCAAGAACGGAGGAGGTAAGTGCAGTTGCAGCTGCTTGGTGGCACCAAAAGAACAAAGTGTCTTGAGGGTGGTCCTCCCAAGAATGGTGATGTAACAAGCTTTTCATGGTTACAGATTAATGGATTGATGTGCTTAGACATGACGTCATGTTCACGTGCCTTGTGTCTTGTGCCACCCCAGGGGCCTTCTTGATTCCCTACTTTCTGACCCTCATATTCGCCGGGGTCCCCTTGTTTCTGCTTGAATGTGCCCTCGGTCAGTACACGTCCATCGGCGGACTCGGAGTGTGGAAGCTAGCTCCGATGTTCAAAGGTATAGTGTCTTACAGGTATAGCCACTCTCGAAAAACAAGACGCCAAAAAGGTTCTTTAGAGAGATGCAATAGGAGAACCACTTTTGGCACCCTAAGGAACATTTCAGTGGAGCCTTTAAAGAATCATTTAGCTATTTGAGAAGTGCAGGTGCAGATGTGAAGAACCTTTTGAAGTTCATGTAAAGTTTTTTCAATGAAAGGTTTTTAGGTAGAACATTAAATCAAAATAAACAAAAAAGTGTCATTGAGCAAAGCCATAGAGAACATTTGGTTTCCTAAAGAACCTTTAGAACTTGTCTGAAGAACCTTTTGAAGTTTTAGAGAACCTTCACGTAGTGTAAAGAATCAATACTAATTTTATGGTTCTTCCTAGAACCTTTACATGATATGGAGGTTCTTTAAACTCTAAAAATGTTCTTCACACTCACATATCTCTTTTGCAAATATTGAAAGGTTCTTTAGAGAAAATATTTTTTCTGTGGTAGTGTGTAAAGAATCATTTTGGAGTATAGCCTCTCTTAAAAATCAGGAGAACCATTTTTGGTGCACTAAAAAATCTTCCTATGGAGCCTTTAAAGAACAGTTTTAACATGTATTTACCTAAAACCGTATATCAAAGCCTAGAACCGACTGGGGACTTTTAAATCTATGAGTATAACAAAGTGTTTTTGAGTGAAGCCAAAAAAGAACCACTTTGGTTCCTGAAGGAGCAATCGTTGAAAAAGAGATGTGTGAGTGTAAAGAACCTTTCTAAAGGCTTAAAGACCCTTCACATAATATAAAAGTTCTATACCTGTGTAAGAACCTTTAAATTATATGGAGGTTCTTTAAACCTTATAAAGATTGTTCTCATTCCTCTCAGTTTTCTATGTCGTCACACGTTTATAAAAATGGTTCACCAAAGAACCATGCATTGAAAGGTTCTTTAGAGGACCAAAAGTGGTTCTTCTATGGCATAATGGAAATAACCCTTTAGGCATCTTTATTTGTAGGAGTGTAGAGTCTAGAGGTCTAGGTTGATGGGTTGTGTAGTCATATTGTACCTAAAATGAACCTCCAAACATTAAACTCAGTGTTTAACCCCACCTCCCACACTGACCTTTTACACACTAGCCAGTCTAAGACATGCAGAGCACCAAATAAGGTCACAGGAGGCAACATTCAGTCAAGTCTACATTTACTTTTAGGGCTGCACAGTAACTTAATTTGAAACTCGAGGGAGCTGATTTGTCCAATAAAAGGAGCAAAAGGCTGCATTATAATGCATGCAATTTACAGTCAAATCTCCAGAGCTGAATTAACACTTATAGAGTCCATTTGTCCATTTGTGTGCAGCTGAACCTAAACAAGCACTATGTGTCTGTTCAGCACTGTAGATGCTAATTCAACCCTGGGGCTTTTTGCCATGCATCTGCCTTCAAACTGTAATACAACATTAGAAAGTGTTGGCAATAGATGGATTCCTCGCTGCATTGTGTAATTATGTATGTTCTCACTGCAGGTGTTGGACTTGCTGCAGCAGTTCTCTCCTTCTGGCTTAACATTTACTACATTGTGATCATTGCCTGGGCCTTGTACTACCTGTACAACTCATTTACAAGTGTAAGTAATCTGTCCGTCATGAATGCCATTCTTGGCAGAAACCACCATCAGTTTTTTATAGGTAAAAGAAAAAGACAACAGCATGTTAATCCTCCTATTGCAGGACCTTCCATGGAAATCATGCAACAATCCATGGAACACGGAGAGATGTTTTACAAACTACAGCATTGCAGATACCACCAACCTCACTAGTGCAGTCATGGAGTTCTGGGAGTAAGATCTTGCAGAAAAATCCTTTAAATATCAAAGAGCTTGTTTTTTCTTTAGAATATAGCTTGAAAGACCATTTAAATTATGAAAACTGCATGTTTCTTGAGTAAACGTTCTCTTTAGATGACTGTTGGATGAATGGCTGTTGCTGTACATGTTAAAACAGGCGCAACGTGCATGACATCACTGATGGCTTGGAGAAACCTGGCCAGATCCGGGTTCCATTAGCAATAACTCTTGCCATTGCTTGGGTCCTTGTGTACTTCTGCATCTGGAAAGGTGTTAGCTGGACTGGAAAGGTTTGAGCTTTCTCTGATTGTCAAGAATTTGTTGCAGTGAGCTGTAATGATGACATAAATTACTACCACGTCTACCAGACTATCTGTTGTTTCTTCTGCATGTGGTTCATTTGAAGATAGCATAGATACTTTCCTTGCCTAGTTTGACTGACAGGTGCATAATGTATCATCATCTAGTTGCCAACCAATTAAAATGCTGTACTGAAATAGCCTGAAAATTAAATATGCTGATAGCTTTCAACCAAATGCCATAGAGGTAAACCATCTATAAATATCTTTTAGATATCATCGCTTATGTTACATCAACACTGACATATTATATGAACATAATTTGACTTACTTTTGACAATAGTTGTGTTGATGAACATTATGTTATATGTCTATATATAGATAGATAGACAGATAGATAGATACAGATATGTACATATGTTTCATGTGGAAATGATGTACACATTTGAATTAAATTAATCCAATATTTCATATAGTTCCACGCTTCAAAACATCTGTGATAGAACAAACAGTCACACAAATGTATATATATATATTTGTTTTCTAGGTTGTTTACTTCTCTGCCACCTACCCCTACTTCATGTTATTCATTCTGTTCATCCGTGGGGTTACTCTGCCTGGGGCGAAAGAGGGAATCATGTTCTATATCACACCTGATTTTGAGAAGCTCAAAGAGTCAGAGGTAATTTCACAGCAAACAACCAGAGTAAACCAATCATCAACTAAACAAACAGCAAACAAACCAACAGTTAAACACATGTGATGAACGCACCTACGCCTTTACAAAATGAGAGATTGTTTCTCTGCTTCTCTTCTCTTCTCTTCTCTTCTCTTCTCTTCTCTTCTCTTCTCTTCTCTTTTCTCTTCTCTTTTCTCTTCTCTTCTACATTCTTCTCTTCTACATTCTTCTCTTCTCCTTCATTCTCTTCTTTTGAATAACTCTTCTCTTCCCTCCTCTTCTGCTTTCTTCTCTCCTCTTGTCTTGTATTTTGTTCTCTTCTCTTGTGCTTTCTTCTCCTTTCTTCTCTTTTACTTCTTCTCTTCTTTTGTCACTTTTCTTTTCTCTTCTCTTCTCTTCTCTTCTTTTCTTTTCTCTGCTCCTCCTTTTCTCTTCTGTCATCTCTTGTCTACTACTTTCTTCTACCATCATCTTTTATCTCCCTTTTTCTTCTACTTTCTTCTACCATCTTTTCTCTGCTGTCACTCACTTCTTCTCTTCTCTCCTCAGGTGTGGCTGGATGCTGCTACTCAGATTTTTTTCTCGTATGGTTTGGGTCTGGGGTCTCTGATTGCACTTGGCAGCTACAACCCTTTCAATAACAATGTTTACAGGTATAGTCAGTCTAATCAAATGAGATTCCCAAATACAGCTGCATTTCCTCGCAAAGTGGCCAAACATCTGTCTGATCACTACAGACTGTTGTCGTTTTAAGTCCTTTGCAGGCTCTTTTAACTTAATTCTTGCCACTAGCACTTGCCTTAATTGTGCCCAGAATTGTTGACTGTAATTAAAGACCCATCAACTGGCTAATGTATGAGGATATGAATAAACAAAACCGGTGTTTGCCTTGAATTTCCATGTAATTAAACCACTGAGTTCTCATCTGGGTACCCACTGCTTACATAATTAATTCTTCAGTTGTTTTTGTATTGAACATCAGGTCAGTTACGAAATGTCTGATGTCCATCTTTGTCCTTCTTTTGTGCAGAGACTCCATCATTGTGTGCTGTATAAACTCCTCGACCAGTATGTTTGCTGGTTTTGTTATTTTCTCTATTGTGGGCTTCATGGCTCATGTGACAAAGAGACCCATAGCTGATGTAGCTGCATCAGGTAATGTACAAATTCACTATAGTGCTGCCATTATGTAACCAAATATCACCTAATGTGAGCAGTAACCACTGTAATTTGCACTTTCATTAGAAGGAGAGATGAAAACCTTAATAAAATCTAACAATAAAGTTAAATAATTTGTTTTATTCAATTTGTGAATTAAAACTGTTATATTCCAGTGTAATAAAGTATAAAGTATATTCTTATAAATGCAATTGTAAAGTTGCAACTTCATATTAGGAGTCCAAATAATGACCATAAATGTTTAAAAAAGTATTTATTAATCATTTAATAATGATTATCTCAGTATTAAGAAAACATTTTTGCATCACAAAGACACATGATGCATTCATAAGTATGATGAAAAGTTTCTATGTAAATAAGTAAATATTTCATATTTTAAGATTACTTAGTCTATTACTGTAAGATTAAGAGTACTAAATATAAATAAAATCACTAGCACTAGTGATTATTACCAAACTATCTCAATAAATGGGTAATAATTCAAATTATGCCATTTGTTAATGCTTATGTAACTGTTATGTCATTATTAACAGCCTTTAACAAAGTATTAGATAATGATTACGGTGCTGTTTATTAGGGCCTGTTGTGATAAAATGTTACCAATAATTCTAACCAGCAAACTAGCAAGTCTCGCCATTTTATTCAGGCTTCAATGCTTTTCATCCACAGGACCCGGCCTGGCCTTCTTAGCTTACCCAGAAGCAGTGACGCAGTTACCCATCTCACCACTGTGGGCTATCCTCTTCTTCTCTATGCTGCTGATGCTGGGAATTGACAGCCAGGTGAGAATATTCAGCATTACAAATTCAAGATCTGACCTAGAAAACAGGTGTAAACAAACAGCGGATCTCTGATCAGCCATGCAGGTTTGCAAAATGCGGCTGCTCCGGCTCCCCTAGTGGCCAGACGTGGAATGACAAGGGTTTATGTTGTCTCCTTGCATTACCTCGATTAGACCACAGAGCCTTGGGTCTTGTCAGAGCTTTCAATGGCGCTTTTATTTCTTTGACTTCTTCGTGCAATTTTTGCATACCATGCTTCTCGTGCTGTTTTTATCTTTGCCGGCTTTGAGAATATGCACTAGATGCCAGATTTTCTTCTCTGTAAAGATCTCTAAGGCTTCAGATGAAGAAAAGAAACAATCAATTAATCAGCAGCATTTTTATCAATGATATTAAGGCATGGAAAATCAGAAGTATGTTTGGTTGATTCCACTGTCAGTTCCTATTTAAGTGGTTAAAATGACACATAGGTTCACAGTACAGCTCCTCAAGTCCTAGCCAGTGTGAGAGCTCCCTTGGCTGTATCTACTCTTTTGTTTACAAAAATGTTAAAATGATATAAGAGTATTTCTATAATACTTGCAGGGTTTAAGTACAATATACACAATGATTATATTAAATAAAACAAAACAAAAAATACAGATATCACAGAAATCGTTAGATCTTCTCTCGTGGCATAAAAGGCCATGGCGGTTTCCCCATTGGGTATTTCTTTTCCATTGAGTAACCTGATGACTATTGAGTACCCTAGTTATTTGTAATTTTCTAACCATTGTCAATATTGTCTTCAGTTTTGCACTGTGGAGGGCTTCATCACTGCTCTGGTGGATGAATTCCCGAGGGTTCTGAGGAAAAGACGAGAGATCTTCATTGCATGTGTGTGTGTCGTGTCCTACATTATCGGCCTGTCCAATATCACACAGGTAAACAAATGACCATCTGATGTCGTGAAAGAATATAGAGTGTCAAATTTGGTAGACTTGTAGTTTATTGGGCAGGCTTTGCACATGTGGATTAAGCCAAGATCTATACTCCTGACAATATAGGTGGCAAAGAGGGTTCTTTGGAGAGATGCCATAAACAAACCATTTTAGTTGCCTAAAGAACATTATAGTGGATTTTTCTTTAAATTGTGAGTCTAAACAACCCTTTTAGAAGCTTAAAAATTCTTCTGGAAGCATGTGTCCCAGCTAAGGACCATTTAAAGGGGCCATATCCTGGAAAACCTAAATTTCCTTGATGTTTCTATATAAGGACCTTCCAGTCTATACACTCCATATATGCAAATTAAGCTGCAAAAACAGCATGCTTTAAATTCTTTGTTTTAGTAATATCACAAAAAACACTACATTTACATAAACCCACCTATTAAGCCTACAGCACTTTAGCCCTGCCCATTCATGCTGAAGTTATAAGGAGTGTTTCAGCCCAGGGTGCTTATTGAATGAGGCACAATACAGGGCAGCTAGAACAGAAGTCATTTGAATATAACAAGCATAAGGCAACAGAAACAAAAAAGCCTGTGAAACTGTAATTGTTAAGAGAGTGTAGAAAATGGTCAAGTAAAAATCAGTCTTTGTTTTTAAGAGTGTAGATTAACAGGACTCTCAAAGGAGAATCCACTGTGAGAGTGCAATTAAGTCCTAGTCTACATTGTCTAAAAAAACTGGTGTATAAAGTGTACCTTATTCATTAGCTTGTCTTCTTAACTTTTTCAGGGTGGCCTCTACGTCTTCAAACTGTTTGACTACTACTCTGCCAGTGGAATGTGTCTTCTTTTCCTGGTTTTCTTCGAGTGCATCTCTATCTCCTGGTTCTATGGTAAGAATTACATGAGGAACTTAGAGGGTTTCACTTGTTTAAACATTCAGCTACAAAACCTTCTCATGTTATTGCCACACTGGTAATCATGCATGGACATTAGGAGATACAGAACATACAGTCCATACAGTCTATCTACAAATATGTACTGAAGAGTAGTTAAATTTCTGAATTGGAACTGCAGTAGGCATGTAAGCAAATACGGTTCTAGAACATGATTAAGATCTGTTGTGTAACAGCTCAAGTTTTCAGTCAGAATGTCTTCAGGCATTCTGGCTTACAGCTAAATGTGGCCGCTCAAGTGTCCTATCTGATTTCATGCTGATTTAGGTGTGAATAAGTTCTATGATAACATCCAGGAGATGATTGGATACAAGCCCTGCTTATGGTGGAAACTCTGCTGGGTCTTCTTCACTCCTTTGATTGTGGCTGTAAGTAAATTTTTCTTTTTTGTTGCACATGCCTGATCACAATCTTGTGGCCTGTTCTGGAGGGAAAGGATATACTGGGAAAAACATAGATAACAAAAAGGAGAGAAAGCAAAGTACAAACACAGTGCACAAAGAAAGTACTTGAATGTCTAAAATTTGTTTAAAAATAGCCAGTCCAGTGGGGACGTTATGAATGTCAACAGACATTTTTAACAAGATAGTGTCATCGATGCAAAGCACCAAAAGCTATTTGAGAAGTAATAGCGGCCCCTTGTGGAGACTGCTCAGCCTGCCAAACATGAGTGAGTGAGTTACAAGCCAGGTCCATGAGCTGCTTTGCATTTAAGAAGTAAGTTATTTAGTGACCTATTCATAACATCCATGGTTAACCAAAATATATCTTTTTAAAAGTCACTTTGACAATAATCTATTTCCAACCTGTCTATTTTGGTAATAATGATTGATGACAATATAAACAGCAATAACAATAGTAAAAGTTCTAGATTGATGCACTGGGTTAGAGGAGGGTTTTCTTCTGGTTCATGCCGGTATTGTAAGAGGTTATTGTATTAATTGTTTGAAATGTTTATTATTGTTATTATTGTTATTATTATTATTAGTAGTAGTAGTAGTAGTAGTAGTAGTAGTAGTAGTATTATCATCATCATCATCCTAGTGGCCATTACTCCGCCCATAGAATGAATCAATTAATATTTTTTATGAACATAATCAAATAAAATATTTTCCACTGTTACTCAGATTAACTAGGACACTGTTGACTGTGTGACTGTGCTGAGCTGCAAGTGAGCAATTTTGGGTAAAAGGGGAGGGTTATGATCTCTCTTCTGTGAAAACAGTTCACACCTCTCCACAAAGATGATTGTGCTGAGACTAAACAGAACATCTGCAGCTTTCTTCATATAAAAAAAAACTACCACAATAAAAAATGAGCATTTAAACACAATAAAACATTTTTGTGAATGTTAAACTGCTTACTCACTTATGAAGACAAACATCGTAGTTCGCTTTAGGTTTTGTGAGTCCACCTAAATGTATTCCACCAGCATTCTGGAAGAAAAAAATTACCAGCATAACAGAGGGACTTCCATTCATGCAAACTTACATTTATGGAAGGTGAACAGTCTGAACAGCTTTTATTGTGGCACAGGTCCTTTACAAAGTTTAGCTAATTTACCCAATCAAGTGTGTATACAGACTAAATAATGACTGACTATTTTTAGGCCTGTATTATGTTTTATATTCATCAGAAATAAGACATTAAAAAGAACTGTTGGAGATATGTTTATTTTGACCATTTTAATCTGTTTTTAAACATTTAACTATAAAATGTATAAAATATATAAAATATTCATGTAAACGCAGCTAAAAAAGCTTAGAAGAAGACAAAATGTTGAATACTGGAAGAAGAAAAAAAAAATATCCTTCCCATAGCCCCTAACCTTACCTTTCACTTTTTATAGAATTGATTTGTGGGCATTCCTACAAATTAGCTTTTAAATTGCATCAGATTGACCTGTTTTGGAGGCATCCCTGATCCAATTTAAGGTGAAGCCTTAAGAATTCACTGCTTTTTTAAAGGATTGTCTCTACTGCATTAACCCACTGCTGTTTCAATGCAGAGAGCATAAATAAACACAGCGAGCACCCGAGGCTTCTCAGTGCAGTTCATTTTTTTCCAATCTTTTCCAGCTATTCTGCCATTTTAGCTTTTGAGCTGCACAAAGGCATTGTGTAAATGAGCTTATCAACCATATTCTAAATGCATGATGTCGTCTCCTCTCCTTCAGGGAGTGTTCCTCTTCAGCGCAGTCCAAATGGTTCCCCTCACCATGAACAACTATGTGTTCCCAGCGTGGGGACAAGGTGTGGGCTGGCTCATGGCCTTGTCCTCTATGATCCTCATTCCAGGCTACATGGTCTACATGTTCCTTAACATGAAGGGAACATATAAGGAGGTAACAATGCTCAATTTGTCATTTGAGTCTAGCCACTGTACAGTGCAACAGCAGTAAAACTAAGATCTCATTCAGATGATCTAGATAATATAGAGTAGAAAACCAAATTTCCTTTAGAAATAAGAGAGTTTGATGTACTATTAATATTGTTCAGAATATAATCTCTAGTCCATACAATCTTTATATGTAGACGAAATTAAAAATGTTATCTTGGCAAGTGAAATCAATTCACTTGAAATCAATTCGCATCAATTCAATCAATAAGTCTCTCATTATGAGATTTTAAGAATGCATCATAAAAATATGATACAGTTATAATACAGATTTTATATCATGTAATTGCCTCAGATAATGTCTTGAAACAAACAAAATTGTCTGCCAATGCAACAAGATTTCTGAAGATAAAATTATTTAAATCAAGTAAAAACATCTAGAAGTAAGTTGAATAATCTTACAATTTTACAATACAACAGTCTCATAATGAGAAACATTCGACATATCGACTAGATGATGTTTTTAGGGTGCCACAATATCATTTTTTGCAGTGCATTTGGTCTCCCTTCAGCCTACAGCAGTTTAGCCCCACCCATTTACACTGAAGCGATAAGGAGTGGTGTTCCTGCAGACAGTCTGTAGCAGAGTTATTGGAGTGGAAGCTGAGGAAAGTGATTAAACGTTGCACTGTTCTTTGCTGTCAGCAAGTAAATGTATCACTGTAGCCTTCCAAAGTATCCACCCCTACACAAGGAGTGGCTGAAGTTTATTTTTTCCCAGAGGATTCCAGTCGGAACTTTACAATCTGCTCTGCACAGGATGTTTCTTTGAATGCGCCAGTCAATCGAAACAGATAATGGGCCTTTTAACAGTAATTGTAAAATGGTTCAGTTCACTGGCAGGTTGTAGAATGGTAGGCTTAGGGTGAGTTAGGGAGAGTCCCATGATCCGCACTCACTGGCATCTGATGTATTCTTGCAGCGGATCAGGATAATGTTGCAGCCTCCGCATGTGGTGAAGGCCCAGGAGAACGGGCCTGAACAACAACAGCAGCAGCAGCAGCAGCAGCAGCAGCAGCAACCGGCGCAACCAGCACAACCAGCACAACCAGTGCAGCAGCAGCAGGTACAGCAGCAACCGCAGCAAGCTCAACAACCCCAACAGCAGCAACCGCAGCAGCCACAACCGCAGCAGCAGCAGCAGGTTGATAACGCCGTCCCGGCCAACCCCGGCAATGCAGACGCCAACGTCTAAACCCTAGCTGAGAGCAATCAAAGACGAACAATACAGAGGACTTCCATGTTTATACAATAATAGAATCATCTACCTCCAGGGGCCAAACATGATCTAATTCAATCTTCAAAAATATATATGTGTGACAGTTTGACTTTCGCGTTTATAAAACCTACCACACTCATGGGTAGGTGTTCTAAACGTAAAAGCAAAGCGTGTTGGTGTCAAAAGAGAAAAAAAAAAAAATCCAAAAAAGAAAAGAATTCCATTATACTGTATGCGAGTGAATCTGTCTCTAACGTGTTAATACTGTGAGTTCAATTAAAAGCACAGTGCAGTGATGCATAAGCTATATCAGTGAGGTATAAAAGAGTTTGTGTTGCTCAGAAGCGCACAGAAGGCGTAAAATATCAAAGAGAAAATGCAAGAGATTACATATATATCGGGTCATTGGTCGCTAATCCAAAACAAATGTCTGGCAAGCGACCCCCATGCCCCTACTTTGAAAGTGGGGTGATATTACTTTCAAGTATAAAGCACAAAGAAATCTGAATTAGGAGAGCCCTTGGGTGACCCACTATCTGTCGTTTCAATATTTTTGTTAGAGAGACTGTTACTATTTTATTTTCTTTGCTGGAAGAAAAAAAAAAAAGAGAAAACTACTTGTACGTGATCGAAAACCATTTTTAGAATTCTTTTTAGGATGTTTTGTACACTTAATGTTGTGATCGAGGACCAAAATTATAGACTAAAGCAAAAACGTATCTATGCCATGCAGTGTATAGGTTACAGAGGACAGGGTACAAAAGTATGGAACTTGAAAAGAAAAAAAAAAGGAAAAACAAAACCACAGGGTTTTTTTTTTAGTGTCAGCATCCGCCTGTCGACCAGTGCTGTCATATCAGTCCTGTTTACGCTTCTGTGCTTCTTATCAGGAATATGAGTGGAAGGCAAAGCACAGCTGAATCTCCAGATTGCCGCAAAGGAAAGAAAAGGAGCGTTTGAGCTCATAATTCAATGATTGAGGACCAAACAGATTGATGCTAAACAGAGTGCATGACTGTGCAGGTGTAATTCATTCATGTGCCAAAACGCTAGACCATATCTGTGATCAAAATGGAGAAAAAAAGAAAGCGCCGCTAATATTTTATATTCTGACAGTTTACAACAAGGGTGTCAGACTTGGTTTCCTCCAGGCCACAGCTCCACAGAAATAAGTTAACCAGCTAAAACTCCAGGCTTACATTCTAGGGCTCGGTATTCAGTAAATACAAAGACTACAAGGCAAACTGGTTGAGTTATTCTGAGGTTATAGAAATGTTTAGTGAAACTTTGGACCTGCCAGTGGGTCCTGGCCATTTAAGGGGTTAAGGGAAGGTCACTTCCCCTTGTTATGTGAACAAAACTAAATTTTGAGACAAATGCTTAATCTGCATTATCATTAGCCAGTAGCAGTAGACTACAACACATTTAGCTTAGCACACACTTTCTTTTTCTGATTGCTGCTAATCAACAACAACGTTGTAACCATCAGTGAGCTACTGTTTAATGTGTACAGGCAGAACGTTTAACTGTTACTAGCAAATGTGGTGCTGCTAGCAAAAACAAGCAAACTAAAAAAACAAGCTGCTTTTATGTTTCTGTCAAAACCTGTGAAAAACTGCAGCCACTAATCTGAGCCTTCTAACTGCCACTGAAGGCCTGCCTTACCATTGATCAGATTGGTCATGACAGAAAAAATGCTTATGATGTAGGGTACATGACTGCTTGAAGTTGAACTATTTTCCCATCAGCTACGCACAAATCACAGCTGTGCAGGGCACATGAAATGCAAGGTGCCCATCATGCAACAACAGCAAGTAAAACTGCTTTAAATGAGTTCAGTCACATGAAACATACACAATGTCAGGAGTTTTGTTTTTCCTCTTCCAGCACTCTGAATTCAACACATGAAGACTTGCTTATTAGCTGATGAGTTGAATCATGTGTTTTTAGCGAGGAATGCTAAAGTCTGCAGAGCTGCGACCTGGAAGGAACCCAGTCTGACTCCCCTGGTTTACAATAAGAAATGTTGTTTGGAAAAGCACATTTCAGAGTAATTAGCCTGTAAACAAATTGCGTACTATAACAAATTAAAAGCACAAGACTTTCAATCTCAATTCAAAAACTGTTACAAGATATGCTCTATACAATTTCCATTTTGGGTCCGCAGAGCATTCTCGCGGCGTGTTTAGGACAACGATAAAGCGATAGTTTGCAGATCTATGGCAGCTACCTGTGAAACGCATTTGGTCATTCGAAACATGTTTACTCCGAGGAGAAAAGCACCTATGAAATGTGAAACGGCTATGTCCTGTGAAATTTGTACAAAAGTTACTTACTTTACCACAGTTTTCTCTGGAAACTTTGTTGTAAAACTGTGTCGTGTAAAACATGTAACTGTGAATGTCTGTATTACATTTGAAGTTATTGTCTCAATGTTGAAACATTTGAAAAAGAGTTGCTGTTTTCTGCAATAATATTTTGATCTCAGAAACCGAAGCACATATATCATGGAAATGATGAGAAGTGACAATGATTATAAAAATTATTATAACAAATAGAATTTATGTCTAGTAAGAAATAATATTGTTTTGTATATTTTTAACTGTTAAACTGCCTACAACATAATATACACAGGATATGTATTTAAATGGTGTCATATGATAAAGCACGATTGTCATGTTATTAAGAAAATGTACAAATAAAGATTATTGAAAATATTCAGTTTTATGTTTGATGGATATGAGCATTGGCATTTTGACTAGAATTAGCATGAACAAGTCTGCTGCTGAAAATTTTTGAATGTTTTCAGTAATATAAGGCCAATTTTTGCAGTTAACTCCTTAAATGTATTCTTTTATGTTCACAGCTTTCAGATAATTAGAAGGACACTAGGAAGCTGTAAAAAATGAAAAAAATTTAGATGTGTGCAGAATGGTAACGTACATAAAGGCAGTTGTTTAGTAGTTTAGCCATGTATTGATCAGTAATGACCTCAAATTGTCTAAAAAATGTTCTGAATGCAAAAGAATATAGTGAGTAATAGGCAGGAATTCACTTGTAGGTTGTGATTAAGGTACAGAGATATTGATAATCGTAATATATGAGGCTGATTAAAGCAATAAGCAACAACAGGCTGTGCGTTACTGCGATTTTATCACAGGAGGGGTGTTCTTAGGCAGAACACGAAGTGGAAAACTCCCTTCCCTTTGATAAAATTGCTGTAAGACACACCTCAAGTGGCTTATTACCTTTATAAAATGTCAGCTAACATAAAATATCATAAAATACACAATTTTTCAGATAATAATTTCAGTTATTATTCACAATAATTGACTAAACAAGTATGTACTTTCTTTAGAGTGTGGTATCATTGCCAAGCAACCATGGACCACTATATTGCGGTCATTTCATGATTTCTTTTTTCTTTTTGTCAAATTACAATGAACATTTCATAACACAGCACTGTTTGATGCAAAACCTTTGCTTAATAAGTACTTTTTGGTCACTAAATTACCATTGCGAGTCTTACGTGGCACCAAACCAGCGGCGCCCCTCTTCTCGTGCTGAAGCTCAATCTCAGGTTGCTCCCTGCTCCCTACATACTCCACTACATCAGAATTTAAATACTGGATCCTGCAGCACAACGGTACAAAATATAGCTAAGAAATAGTCATTTCGGACTCAATTACATACATACTCGATAAATGATGCACTATTTGGCTGTAGAGACTAGAATTTCTAATCTTTCATAGCTAGCACACTATTTAGGGAACACAGTGCTGTTTGGGATTTAGCCTGGGTTTGACGCAACTTCTGACTGAAACACGAACAGTTAAAGCATGTAATTAATTCAAGTGACATTTTTAGACTTTTATACTGTCATTTTACAGTTAATCAGACCGTAAATACTTTAATTCAAGTCTGTAATATTAATGATGGAGTTTAGGCTGTTTATCTTTTAGCCTGTTAGCTCGCTGACCTGCCTAGTTCTAGTTAAGAACATAGCTGCCAGCCTCTCAGTTTAAACAAAACATGGGTTCTTATTTCATCAATATACTTGGTGGTCCAGGGGATTATTCAAATAACAGCACAAGGGTTTTTTTCGTGCCGTGGCACAGTGATATACAATTCAGTTGCTGTGAGGCAGTCATGTGTGCGCATTTCATGGGTTTTACAACGGCTTCGAATGTTCGGTTCAGCCAATCAGATTTTAGGACTGGAACCTGTTTTATAAATGGTTTTATACAATAAGTTCCAACAGCAAAATCTGATTTCTGCCTGTGCTGTTCTTTGTGATAACAAATACACACATACATAAACAGAACATTAATACATTACTTAACTTCTGTAAGATAAGCAGGCTGTTTTAACAGACTCTGAAGAAGAGAGTGACACCAGGATTACATCAAATTCTGTGCCTGTTGTTCCCTCTAAACAAGCTGTTGATCAGCAGCTGTGACAACTAAACAAACTGGAATTAGGCTGAAACATACAGAATACAATTCAGTAAACAAGCTGGGATGTAAAATGCTTTACAGACTGATTGGAACAAAACATTATTCAATTCATCAGGGTACGTAATGAAACCTGGTATTGCGACACTTTTATGGCTCTGTCTGTAACACAAAAGGGCTTCTGTTGTTTTGGCAGAAGGAAATGTTAAAGCACATTTAACACAATGTTATGGAATATTTATTTTATTTTTTAAGAGTTTTATTGTGTTAGACTTGTGTTATTGTGAAAAACTGTCATCAGCTGTGATGTACGTATGATACTTGTCTCCACCTCATTCCTGCAACCAAATCACAGCTTTGATGTTATTTGTAAAGAGACTTGACTTTGAGTGACATACATATTACATTTTATATGTATTATTCACATTAGATTAGTGTTCTTCCCCAAACAACATAATAGTGGCTTTCTGTTCTCACAGAAAATACTATTATTTCTGCTAATACAACAGACTGTCATAACATGCAATGCTTTTGTTAAAATCTCTGAAAACAGTAAAAAACCATGTACACATGCACACACATACAAGATTCTGGAAATGCAAGATAGATTACTATACACACACACACACACACACACACACACACACATACACACACACGCAA